TACCGAGATGGCACGGCCCTAATGAGATCTCGGAGGGATGCCAAATGGAAAAAAATACATTTAAAATTAAATTATATCCCCCTAGACCGAGAGCTCGCTACAAATCAATTGGAGATTACAAGGTGGATGATTTCTCAGGCAGAGATATCATTTTCAATTTCGCATAAGTTATAAAAGATTTTTATAGAAGAAGGATGACAAACGGGCACACAGTCTACCTGATGGTAAGTGGTTGCTGTGGTCCATAGACATCTACATCTATCCTCGTTTGAGAAGATTACGAATCAAAATGCAGATGCGTTGTCACCCGTGAGGACTAAGATGGAATGCCTCGTTTCCAGTAAAAAAGGGTCTCCGGTTCTCTACACTCACCATACGAAACACAGCAGTGTTAAGCTGCTATTTACGCTGGTATTCTGTGAGAGCGTGATCCTTCCCCGGTCGAGCCGACCCATTCGTACTACAACTAACTATCTATACTACTAATATAGCTGCAGCATGGCTCTACCACGTTTTTGTTGTTGCTTTTTGTTTGGTCAAGTCTGTGTTTACTATACACTGCTCAAATTCAAATGGTGTTTTTTTTTTCACATAAAATATGCTTCAAACCAATGGATGTAACTTTTTCTATTTTTTTATGAAATTCCTATTGTATTTTGAACACTTTTTTCCTTAATTCATTACAGACTATCAAAATTCCACTCTCTCCTATATATTGCCTTATTTGTTTTTTTTTTTATAGAATTAAGGTGACAAACGACCACACAGTCCATCAGAAGATAAGTGAATTTAGTACGTGAGGGTAATATGGTCATCCGGTTAATATGGTCACTTTCTTATAACTCAAAACTACAACCTTGCGTAGATGGTTCTGTGACACGTAATAATAACAAGAAAAGCTATCAAGTTATTAATTAATATCAAATAATAAAGGGTCAAAAGGGCGCTGCTTTATTGAAGACATTTTGACACTTGACATTATAGTAAATATTTTAATCGATTTTATTACGGTATAGTGCATTGGTTTGTTTAAGTTGATTTTTAGAAGTGTTCCTAATTATTGTCAAAGTCTTGTTTGCTAATTTTTTTTTCTTAATATATTTTTTATAGTATACGACTTTGTGTTTTTGTCTCTGTCCTTCTCCTAGCTTTGGTTTTATCGGGTGGCAAATCTTAAAGTGACCATATTACTCTCACATTACACTCACCTACGTGGTAGAGCCATGCTGCAGCTATTATAGTATAGTTGTAGCACGAATGAGTCGGCTCGATCGGGAAAGGACCACGCTCCCACAGAATAGCAGCTTCATGCTGCTTTGTTTTGTATGGTGAGTGTAGAGAACCGGAGACCCTTTTTACTGTAAACGAGGCATTCCATCTTAGTCCTCACGGTTGACAACGCATCTGCATTTTGATACGTAATCGAGGATAAATGTAGAAGTCAATGGGCCACAGCAACCACTTACCACTGTGTGCTCGTTTGTCACCCTTATCCTATAAAAAAAAACTTACCCACCTTAGTTGTAGATTTTTATAGGCCACAACGGCCTACAGAAATCTACAACTGTTCTCGATTATTAGATCGATCGATATATTACAATATTATTTAATGGCTAGCATACATATTTGATACATATTTAATCGTAAATATAAAATAAATATATCTAGTTCTTAGTAACACAATAAAATAAAATAATTATTATTATTATTTTGTTTGAGAAAGTTGATTATTTTTTTATCATCATAGCATTTCATTTTAATTTCAATATAATCGTAATCGTCCAAAATCTAAATAAATGACAATCGTTTTCGAAAATAAATTCCTTTAGTCCCATTAAATATGCAATATATCAAATAAACAGACATTGATGTGAGAATACCAACACTGTTTTGAAAATCGAAGCGAGGAGCGGGGCCCCGTTGGGAAATTACACGACAGCCGGAAACGGGTAGCGGGGTTCGGTACCCGTCGCATCATGTTACGACTTACGACCCGATCGTTGCAAATAAAACATAGACATACACATATGTTTATGAAGCCATGTTACAAGGTTTTATTTTGTACTGTTTCACGACTCACATTTGTGTAAGTAAGGGTAAAGTTAAAAGTTATAGCCTAAATACTTCCCACTCTTGAGAACAGATGCTCTCATTTCCTAGAGGGTATTAAGGCAATTTCTGTACGTGGTAGCGCCACGCTGCAGCTATATTATAGTTGTAGCGTGGAAGAGTCACATGATACCAGCTTAAAATACCAGCCTAATGCTGCTGTGTTCCATATGGTGAGTGTAGAGAACTGGAAACTCTTTTTACTAGAAACTAGGCACTCCATCTTCATTCTCCGTCCTCAGGGGTGGCAAAAACTCATCTGCATTTTAATTCTTAATCGAGGATAAATGTACATGTCCATGGGCTACAGCTTCAACTTACCATCAGGTGCTCGTTTGTCACGCGCAATGTATAAAAAAAAATATTGCAGCATACATGTTTCATGGTTTTATTTTGTAGTGTTTCACTCGTCACATTTCTTTAAGTTAAGAATAATTTAAAATTAAAAATTTTGTACAACATACTTCAATATAAATTATTAAGAATAACTCAAAAACAATCAGCCAGACCTCGATCAAATTTAAAAAGAATCATCGAAATCGCATACACATAAAAAAGCATACAGTCGAATTGAGTACCAGATGCTTTTTGAAGTCGGTAAAAAGATACAGTTTATATACATCCCACTCTTAGGAAAAGGCTGCAATATTAGGGTCGTTGAAGTGGAGATTGAAAGATACTTCACTCGTTCAGGGCCATTTATTGAATGCCAGAATAATAGCCAATTACAATTACATTATAATACTAAGGTAAGTTAAAGTGCTTAGTTGCAATCACGTCATTCATTTGCGTCAAGCGTTTTAGGCCGATTTAGGTTTTAGGCCGATATGTAAACTGCCTCCACGATACAGTAGCTAATCCTAGTGTGGAAGTAACTGTTTCTAATTAAAATAAAAAGACTTGGTTCTGAAGGGTCAGCATTTTAATTCTTTATCGATGGTGGATGTAGTTGTCTATGGACCTTTATCATTATCACGTCTAGTGACAACAAAATGAAGTCCCTTACGCCAGCCGCCATCTTTGATATTACCATTTATGTATCTCTAACAAAGTTACACTCAACATACACGTCGAAACAATTGGAGTCAAATATTACAACCTAAAATGACGTGTCATTAGTCATGCAGATGCGATCCGCAGTACAAAACAATGCGTCCTTTGTGTTTTGCGTTGATTGCGCACATTGTCCGCAAACTAGCAATAGAATAGAGCGGAAAACATGACTAACCCTACAACGTGGAAAGTCACCCTACCTATTTAGACATTGCCAACGCGTCTAATATTTTGCGTCCTACAACACATTATAGAAAGGCACAAATGTGATTTCATACGAATTCAACTCGGCTGGGCAACGTTCGGGAGTTTACGACACATCTTTTCGTTGGAAATACTTCAAAACCTCAAAACTAGATTGTTCAACCAGTGCCTGTTACCAGTGATGACCTATGGATCTGAGACGTGGTCCTTCATTGCTGGCCGTATGAGGAAGGTCAAAGTCGCTCAGCGAGCTATGGAGAGGGCTATGCTTGGCGTTTCTCTGAAGTGGCAATGGTCCGAACATACAGCTCGAAGAACCGACAAGCGATGGGGGAGAAGGGTTCTCGAGTGGCAACCTCGTACCGGTAGGTGAAGTGTAGGGCGTCCTCCCACTAGATGGAGCGACAACCTGGTAAGACATGCAGGAAGTCGATGAATGCAGGTGGCTCGGGACCGTGTTTTGTGGCATTTCTTGGGGGAGGCCTATGTTTAGCAGTGGACTTGTGACGGGCTGTAATGAAGATGATGATGAAATGTGATTTCATTGCCTCGTTTGTATAATGGTCGAAAATGCGTCTACTGATCATGAGTTCTCCGGTCAGAATTCCATGTTGGGCCAAAAAAATAATTATTGAATCTGCCCACTGCCCAGAGTCGGCGTTGGCGGTTTTTCAACCTCGTGTATCGGAAAGCACGTAAAGCCGTTGGTTCTTCGCCTAATCTCTCCCAGATCGTCTCGGTGTACTGTCCCATCGGACTATAATCGGAAAAAGAGGGTGCACCTGTGCTTGCCCGTACACTTTGGCGAGTAGTTTGGATGGTTAGTCTCTGTGAGGCTGGCCATCATAACCGAAATACGGTCTGGAGGACATTAATGGCTAACAAGTTCGAAACGATTCCCGTATCTTCGTATATAATAGTAGTAATAGCCATAAAAGGAAATGCCATTTTACGCGTAAAACTGAAGTTCACGGAACAAGTATTTGTATGTCCTACAAATTTTTCTGTCCATGTGCAGTTTATTAATGTTAAACACTTCCACGGTATTACAGAAAAACCTACTGTGTGGTTAAAGTTTGTTTTATTAAATGTTGGGATCTGGCCATAGAAAGCCAAAATACCATTTATTTACTGTGGCCTTATGAGGACATCCTGACTGCAAGAAATTATAATTAAAATTATATTATTGTTGAATATATACTTTTACGTTCTATTGTTGTCGCGCTATCTCCGAATGACCAAGCTACTCGTATGTAAACGAGAGAGACAAGTGCAGCTAGGTTGATTAATACCCTGTAAAAAATTGACGAAATCATAATTCTGTATTTCCATGTTACCCCAACCAAAACTGGACCAATTTTAGTTTTTTTTTTTTCTACAATATTTCACAATGTAGAAAAATATATGTGAAAATGGCTTTGCTTGCACTTGAAATGAAAAACGTAAGTTCTTACATGGAAACGTGTGTGTGTGTGTGTGTGTGTGTTTGCTTTTGGCATTTCTATCCTAAACCCGTACTTCAGCTGACTCTATAAACTGCAATTTCCCAATTTACGTGGTAAATTTTCCTTCGGCTAAAACTAAATTCGTCAATCAAACCTTTATTAACGTTTTTTTTTTCTTTATTCTTCTAGTACAAAATTCCAAAGAAGGAGGAGATGGTGGAACAACAGCAGGCTGAACCAGACAACCCTTTGATGAGGAAGAAAAAGACTCCTGAGGAATTGGCTGCGGAGGCGGAGCTTGAAGATCAAGACGAGTTCACTAGTGAGTAGGAGTTTACAAATTTAAAATCAAAATAACACGAATCGAAGATAGATGGCTCCGTGGCGCAGGGGCTTAACAATGAGTTACAGCGCTGAAAGCCGCAGGTTTGAATCCTGCTTGGAACTAGTATTTGTTTGACCTACAAATAATTGTTCTGGATCTGTAATGGATCTGGATATTAATAGAAACTATTTTTACCGATTCTATCGCATTTAATTTAACTTTTTAATTCCCAACATTTTGGGTGCTTTACCTTCAGTTTTTGAATATTAATTTTTGGTCCGATCTACGCACAATGTGCTTATATTATCTCAAAGTCTTGCAGTGGTATGCTTGGGTTTGGATTTAATTTTATTAATTATAGGATCCCAAGCAGATAGCAGTACCCATAAATCTTCTCTATTGAAATTAGGGTTTTTTATTAATTTCAATAGCCTTGGGAATCATCCCTGGTAGGAATCGGTGTTGTAATGGGTGCTGTAAATTAAACAAGATATAACCGTAAAAATTCGTTTCATTTAATGTGTAGTGTTCGCCAAAATATAAGGTGAAATTTTTGTATGTACTACCGAGATAAGCACTTACCTAAAATTTTATAGTATACGAGCAACTAGAGATCGATCTACGACATCGCTCCTTCAGGATAAAGCTACTACTATTAGCAACATTACTGAAAGGAACACAATGACTGATGATGGTGATGATGAAGATAATGATTATTTAAGATTACAAACCATAACCACGAAAGATTCAAATCTTTTATTCGTAACAAAGCATTCCATCCTAGTTCTTGGAAGTGACAACACATCTGCATTTGATTCTTAATCAAAAATAGACATGGATGTCACAGCATCCACTTCTACATCAGGTGGACTGTGCGCTCGCTTGTTCCTCATAATTTTAGAAGTACTACGCTCTCATCTATACATATAAATAAAATTAAAGTGTCTGTCTATCTATTCTATCTATTACAGCCTATAGAAGTCCATTTCTGAATATAAGCGACTCCATATGTTGTCTCATATGGGGATTTTTCTGTAGTTGTCACGCTTGGCAGGCGGGTTGGCAACTGCAGTTTTTTTTTATTCGTCTGTTCAGGAAGATGCTGCTGCCCATCTCCTGTTTTACTTTTCCTCTATCTTCTCTTACGACACCCACGAGACGAGTTGGGGTAGTGAGTATTCTTAGATTGCCACTACACGGTTTCTGTCTTTAATATGAAAATTACTGAATTTTATTAAGCTTAAGAGGTTATTTACATACCACCAAGACATTAAGTAACCATTTTAAAATTTTTGCCTGTCTAATGGCTAATCTACGGAACGGCTAAACCGATTGTAATGAAACATAACGAACACATAAATAACAATGCCAGGATTGGTTTGGGATTTATTTTCTGAAAAACTAGGTGACTTTTTGGAGAAAACGTTAAATTTGTAAAATGAATGGTCTATGATTATCTTAAAACTAGCTGTGCCCCGCGTATATCACGCATCTGCGCCTTGCGACATGCGAACTTCGAGAGAGACATCACGACGGACGGTTGCTGAATTAACAAAGATTTAAAAAGTGAAATATGTTACTAAAATTACATGGTTAACGTAATTGGTTGTTATGCATGATATAGGTAATGATGCATGATACGAATAATGTGGCCTATTTTGTACCGGCGTTACTATTTCACATTTTAACCTGAAAAAGTAGTTATTGTGACATAACTGTAATAGTTAAACATATGGTGTCGCAGACTTTTTTATAGATATTGATATCCTCTATAAAACTGACGTACATTACTTTGCTCTATTATCAATAGTTTCCGCAGCGTACGCGATATAAGGATTATTTTTGGTATTTTTTTCACACCTTGAGTTACATTAACGAAGCTTTCATACGGATCCCTAACTTTTTTGAAAATATTCTATAGCCTATGTTCATCAGGGATAATGTAGAATTCTAATGGTGAAAGAATTTTTCAAATCGGTCCAGTAGTTTCGGAGCCTATTCAATTCAAACAAACAAACAAATCTTTCCTCTTTATAACAGTAGTGTAGATGTAGATGTAGATGTAGATGTAGACTAAATAAAGCCACATTAATAGATCTGGTCCAGGCGAAGCCTAGTTTATTAGTAATAACTAACTAAAATAAAAAATGTCCAACCTTTTACTCCCAGCATATTGAAAAGGCCTGTTATTAGTCATAATTGATATTGAATCTGAACGGTCCAGATTGATAAAAAGACAAAAGGTTAAAAATTTCCGAATCAAATTGACGTCGCTTGGCTCCGACTTTTTGCTTAGATCTTCAACCTGTTGACATCCTTACATCCTTACAATTTGAAGATAAGATTCGAAAAGGTCGAGTGTCTTTTCAATGTTTTTTTTTACAGTAAAAATGCTTATATTTCTTGCACAAAGCGGTCCATTTATAAGATTCTCTTTAACCTTTGTAATTTAAAAATATCGCTCGCGTTGCCTTGTTCTTAGAAAAAAAATATCCTGTATCGTAAAGGCGTTTGTATATATGTAATACATAAATCGCAAAAAAATCTCCCACACCTGGAATTATTCCTTGTAGGTCTTACATATATAATAAATTTAAATATATCTATGGGCCACAGCATCCACATACTATGAGGTGGACTGTGTGCTCATTTACGCAGTGCGGTTAAACAGTGGTGTGGCATGGGTCAATGCTACCCGTGGCCGCTAGAGCAAATAATGCAGCCCCAATATTCTCATGTCACCAAATATAAAACTATCAATTAAAAGTCTTTATAAAAAATAAGGCGGCGAGCTGACTATTCTTTCCTCAAATGCCCGGGGCCATTGCCCATATGCCCGCCCCCATGCTACGCCGGTGCAGCTAAATATTTGCCACTATAATTGTACAAGTTTTAAAAAAAGTTTTATGATAAATATAATGAAACTGATTTACATGTCAAAACACTATAACCCTTGGGGTAGTAGCATAGTCCAAATACTACTAACAATTGGTCATCGAAGGCGTCTAGATGGGGTGATCGTGGTGCGGAGCTGTCCGTTAGGGTTGTTCTGCCTAACAAATAAATTAAAATGGTTCACACTTCATGTGCGGTAAAAAACTGTGGGTCGTCCCTATTTAAAGATAAAGAATTAAAGTTTCATCAGTTTCCACATACACAGAAGTTTGTTTAAACGTAAAATAAATTGAAATCACTTTTTTATTTTTTTATTACTTACCGTTCTGACAACCCTAGCAATTTATTGTTTACAGCTAGTAAACAATACCTTGCTAGGGTTGTCATATTCCCCGTGAGTTTACCCGCGTGGAATTTATTACGATTGGATTTTATGATTTTTTTTGCGCGGAATCCTCATTCCTTTTCAAAAATAAAAGTAGCCTATGTCACTCCTCATAATATTAGCTATATGCCAGTGAAAGTCCCGTCAAAATCGGTCCAGCCGTTTCGGAGTTTAGCCGGAACAAACAGACAGACAGACAAAATTTTAGAAAATTGTATTTTTTGTGACACTTCAATTGTATTCATTTGTATAGATGTCGGCTTTTTCGACAACATCAAATGCGATGATTGACTGCATGTTATTATTAGGCTTTGGTAATAGCAACCGCTGTACCGCTAAAATAGGTGACATTAAACGAAAAATTGTGTGGACTCCAATAAACTGGGGTGAAACCATCTCCTATTTAAAATTCGTTTATGGATAAAATTTGGACTGATTCCATCCATCCATCTATAACAGCCTATAAAAGCACTGCTGAATATAGATAATATATGAGGTATCATACATTGGATTTTTTCATAATTGCCACGCTTGGCAAGCGGGTTGGCAATAATTTTGAAAAAAATATTTTTAATTGTTATCAGTATAATACTACTGCCCCTCCCCTGTTTCATTTTCCCTCTGTCGCCTCTTACGACAACCTCGGCACTCTATGGTGTATTGGATACACTTACACCGCGATTACACGGTTAAACTGATTAATTCCATGCAAAAATATTCCTCACAACTTCCTTGTTCTTCTTACCTTTTACGGATACAGGAGGTGCTAGATTAGACAGTGGCGGGATTATCGGGGATCCACTGTATATGGATATACAGCCATTTTTGAATTGAGAACTTCTTTAGAATCGTTGTAATTTGAAACACGATGAAACTAGACATTAGAAAGGTACCAACATATAGGTACATTTATAGGATTTAGCCTGCGAGGGAAAGAGATAGTATACAGTATACATTGTTTCCTATTATTTCCTCCTTTTCTGACGATTTCACTTCTATCGCATGTGAACTGCACACACTGGTTTTTTTTTACTATATAAATACATTTGACAAAATTAGTGATGTCCATAATTTTAATACGCGCAGTAAACAAACTTGCTGTTTCAAAGTGTAATATTGGTTTCATAAAACTAACGGATCATTTTTGGGTCTAGTTATAACTATTTATAACAAAATTTCCCGTAATATTACTGAGTTGCCTTTGCGTAAGTTCAAAGCGTATGTAAAAAGCTTTCTTATTATGTAGAAAGTGTATTATAAATTAGATAATTATTTAAAATATATGAATACGTGGACATAATGACCTTCTTTAGACTTTTTGCTTAAGCTTATATTTTATAAGATACAATTTTAACTGTTTAAAAAAATAGCCTAAAATGTGGAGTTTATTGCCGCTTCTCACAATTTCTCCGCATAGCCATCTTGAATTACAAAATGTATGTATATGTAATATGTAAAGGCCAATGTTGAATAAAAATATTACATCTATGATTATAACTATATACAGTGGTCCTAAGACCTTTCTTGTCGTGTCTTACGATATCTACGGAACGATGAATTCCCTCACGCCTTGCGCTGTGTTCCAGAAATCTAAAATTTTATTTTCTTAATTTACAGAACTCAAAAACACCATCGAAACGCAAGTGAACGAACTGAAGTCGCAGATCGAGAGCAAATGTGTTATGCAGTGAGCGAAGCGAGACGCCGCAACTTCCACCATCTTTATTATATTTACCTGAATACATGATGTAGCTGCTAAGCTGATTGTTAGGACGTTTCACAGGCCCGCTCGCATAACCCCACCACCCAATAACCTGCCCAAGCAATACAAAAAAGATACAAAGAAGTATTTCGTTCGAAAATCCGTTATCATTCGCGCTCAAACATTTTTGTAGGAGAGATTTAAATTCTAAATTTTTCAGAATGTAGTTGGCTAGTGGCGCGTTGGTGCTTTATAATGAGCAATAATATTTTTATACATTCATAGAAAAAATGTGGAGAGCGACCCCCTATACCGCCGTTGAGAACAGAAACGCATTCCGAACGTTAGGCCAAAAAGTTGTCGGTGAAAACCGAACACAAAATTTGACGCAGAGTATCGGAAAATGTGAAACGAATCCAATTTTATATGTTGATGCTTGTGATATATTGTTATTTAAGTGTAAAGAGGGAATAAATTTAAATACAACTAGAACGGTGTAATATTAATAAAGAAATGAAAAGGGAAATAATGTATTTTAAGCCTCTTAGCACGCGTGTGTAGATTCTGACTTCATCAAAGTGTTTCCTTCTTTCACCTACTTTTCATCTTCGGAACAAACTTACATTGAAATAACAATGTATTCGATAGTAAATATTTGTTTTCATCCAAATTCCACTCGGCTTTGTGTCTCTGTACTTAAGTGTTTTACCGTTAAGGGTAAATGTATGTGTGGCTTCCGCTCTTCGCTCTCTATTTTCTCTGTTTCTCCTTCTACAACTTGAAACTCTCCGACTTTTGTCTCTAAATCTTTTGCATGCGTGCTTCTGCATTGTTAATCGATATTGTGTCAGTAAGTTCTTTTAGGTGTACATACCCTTAATGGACCTAGCCTTAAAATCCACATCGAAAATAATAATAGGTACAATATTGTTACTGCGTATTAAATAGGGAAAGGCGTTTGATATAACTAACGCCTCTTCCGATTTGAAATAGATGTCAGTTTTGTTCCTGCATGTCTTTAATGTAAGATCGATGTTCGTTTAGATTAATGTGTTAAGGAATGTAGATAACACTTAACCCGTCGTTGTTTTACTGTTGTACCAATTTAGTGTAGTCAACGCGAATCTAACGATTTATCGATGTTTTGTGCTTAGGTGTAAAGTTAATGTTTGTGCGAGCAAAATTTTCGAGCGATTAACACGTTGGAATGTTGGGTGATTCGACGTATAGTTTGAATCAAATTTTAAAGTTTGATCCAATATATACGTATAAAGAAGAAAATTTGAAAAATGTAACAAAAGATGCCCTTGAAAAATACTACTTGAATTTACCACTGCCTGAAAAAGTAAAGGTTTGCAAAGCTAATTGTTCGAACATTTGTCTCCACATGTAAAGCTGCAAATGCAAAAGATTTGTTATCGTCAAAAGCTGTGATATATAAATAAAATAAAACTATTGCTGTGCGCCAGACGCGGCCTGACCGCTCGCGCCTTTACGTACTTTTCACTTAGCTTCTTTGATCTTCGACTTTGAATCTATCACTAAATATTAAATTATATAATAATCGACAAACTATTCTCTCGAAACTTTCACCTTGCCTCCGCTCTCATACATTTCAAAACTTCAACGGAAACTTCTACAATGGAATCAGCACATCATGTATTTCCAAATTTGGTTTCTGTTCTTTCATGTACGGATTATTCATAAGCCACAATAACGCCTGCTTAAACTTTAGTTATAAATTTATCTTTGCCTTATTCTGTTATCTGGCTGCGGTATCACTGCAAACTTAATACAGATATTCTATATACACTCTTGTAAATACAAGAATAATTTCAAATCATGTGTCATTGAGAGTTCTATTCTATTCTCCAATAGATAAGATTCAAAATATTTTCTCGCGTTTCTGCACTTTCCATATTTTCTTAACTTCATTCTATAGGAACATTGTGTTTTAAGCACACCACTTCTCTACATCTATACATTAATCATCACTGATGGGTGCCGCTTCACCAAAAGCTTTCTGACCCGTCCGTCTTCATAACTCGTAATTTCACAATCTTTATATAGTTAAGGTATTTTAAATTTTCACCGTGTACGTGTGTTTAGCCTAGGTTTACGGTGTATTACGCGATAGCTCTATAATACGTGCATGGCGTTTCTAGCTGAACTGTTGTTCGTAGTTGTTCGGAATAAACAATAATAGATTAAGTGTCCGACATGACCAATATTTCAACTCTGTCATTCATAACCTCCCCTATTTCCTCTTGTATGTTAGTCAATACTTCTATAATATACGATGCTACCCTAGATCCCTTTTATCTTCAACTATCTTTAAATCTATCAGTAGTGTATCTATGGCCTTCGTTGTTGACTCTCATTTATGTAGTGATAGTGGACTAGAAAATTATTTTGGTACGTAGCGAGGATTAAGTATAACATAAAATTTCCAATTAAATCCGCTAATTGTCACTAATTTAAAACCTAAGTTTTTTTCAGGTCACGTTACTTTTGTAAATTTTTGTGTGTGCATGTGCGTTTAAAAATAAGTGTAGGGCAGCTCTTGAGAGGTGTGTTTTTGTGTCGTTATCTCTCAATTCGTTTTAATTTATTTCTTAAGTTGGAACTATGTTTAAGCGCTTCATAAAGCTGTTTGTAAGTAAGCTTTCGGTGTTCAATGTATAGTGTTAAATATATATCTAGGTGTATGTACATGATTGCTTAACTGCGAAATTTTCAAAGGAATTTGGGTGATATCAAATGGTTGTCATGATTAATTTTGTTTTTATACATTTAAGATTCATGTAATGTTTCTTGGTGATGGTAAATAGAAAATATTATATTAGAACTAATAATATAACTCAACGTATTACATTATCATATTACAACCTCCACACTACAAATTGAGTGAAGTAACATCAAACGAAACCGTCAATATTTCCAATAGGTGTCCGCACTTTCTAAATCAAATATTGATTTCCTATTATTATATTTATACATATATAGTGAATTTACAAAGAGGTTTATACAAGGTAGGTGTGTAAAGTAGACATAACTGTAAATTATTTATAATCGAAAGATTAATTGATCATGATTTATATTCACGCCCGTAGCATAATTTTGAAGGGCATGTTAAGGGACGCGAGACCAATTTCTGAATTTCTCCAAATGCAAAATCAGTTGAATTGAGTGATTAATCTTATGACATTCGTACTCAGGGTAAATTAAATATTATATACTACTACTATTGTTATCTATTTATATATTATCTTTGTTCATTTAGATATTTTAGAAAGCAGTTTTGTGGCTTTTGACCCACGATGCTATCTCTGTCTACGAACTGATTTAATTCCCTCTTACTTGGTTATCCTATAATCTTTGAAAAGATATATTTAAAATTTCTAATGTTATTTTTAATACAAATGAAATTTTCCAGTCGAGTTTACGACGAACGGCAACAAAACTACTTCAATAAGCAATCACCAGACATCGAGTAAACATTTTGAAAGATTATTATTAATTTTAACGTATTCAATATTTGCCACAATATTTAAATATCATTTAATAGTATTCCGTTAAAACATACACTCAAACTATGCAAACGTATCTTGTTGAAAATATAGTCTGTTATTGATAGTTGCACTAAGTATTTGATAGATTTCACTCAGATTAAACGTAGCGTTTGTTTTATATGAACTGATTCGTCATATTGGCTCATTTATTATAACAGGAGGAAAAGTAAAATATTCACATAAATGACTTATCTAGCACACAGTCATCAGTAATATTTTAAATTATATAAATTGGAACTATAAACAAAAATAAGTAATAAAGACATCAGATAAAAATTGCGACTAAACATGATACTAAAAGCTATATCACCTACGGTTTTTTTTTCAACTCACATGGATTATACATAGCCATTTGATCTCAAAAACTCACCGAAGGTATTCGCGGTTTCATACCAATCAGAAAATACAAAACATACAATCACCATTGACACATTATGAAGACGCATTCGGTGGCAAGTTTCAGTTTCATGTGAAATTACAATTACAGGAGAGTGAAATCGAGCAACTCGTATAAAATAGTTTATAGACGATATTAGAGACAACGACACTTTTAGCCACACACACAAGAGCTTCAATACACAATATATTACCAGTATTACTTTGTTAGAAATTTTTGAGGCACTTTAACGCATAGTGTGGAAAGATCTTTATAAAAGAACTGACAGAGAAGTGCCACAGATTGCATAATTTTTGCTCTTTAGAAAGATTTTTTCAAACCTTTTCACATTATGCGTGAAAGTTTAAATTTGATTTATTGAAATGTCTTCATAGTAGTGAAATAAATGTTTGTTGGTACGTTCGGGGAATGGAATGGAGATGCGTATTGAAATATAATATATATGAATATGAAATATACATATGAAAGTTCTTCCCGCCACTATTGTTGAAAACTGTTTCGAAAGTTTTTCCTCGAACGTACAAATTGTTTAAGTAGGATAGAAAGAGGCCACATTTGAATACATTAGCTTTTAATATTAGTGACATATAGTGTTAAATATGCAAATTTACTGTAATTGAACTAAATATTTAAAAAAGAAATGTAAATCGATTTTCAAAAAAGAACATTAATCCTGATATGAACGTGGTTCATACGTATGTTGTATTGTTATTATAAAAGGGTTAGTAGCTTAACCACGATTACATTTAACTTAGAGTTATGAATGAAAAACGAAAAAGAGGTTATTGTTGAAAATGTTTTTAGATAATTAAAATCAGATTGAGCTTTTGTGAAACCTTGTTATTGATGGTAAGTTAGGTTTCTGTTCGCGGTATCGCTGGCTAAGTACTGCCATACGATCATGTAATTTATCTCTATACGTATTAGTTTGGTTTCTACACCTGTCACTTGGGTAGTTACATAATGTAGGCTTTCGCTGCAGATTTATTTATATCTAATGTTGCAATGCATTGTTACATTTATTTAATCTTCTTTATTAGTTACGTACAAAAGTTTAGAGGTATCCATTTTCATATAAACTTTACTGTGGATGTGAAAGTGGTATATCTACCATGTTGTTATATAATAAATAAATTACATTGTACCACCATGTCATTGTTTTATTTTTGAAATAATTATATTTATAAGCTAGTTACATATGTCTACTGATATTTCACATGGCACCAGGAAGTCACCTTCCAAACAACATCGCCTGCTTTAGCAAATAACAGCATGCCGAGACTCAATTCACTTACGTGACTTATGAATATTCAACATAGTGCCATCAAGAAGTCACCTACCTTACAGCACCGCCTGCTAAGCAAATTACAGCACGTCTATTACATGACTTAATAATATTCAACATAGTACAAAACCTAGGGTCTAATTGTTGAGACAGCCCATTAGTAGTTAAATTAGTTTGTAAGTTAGAAAATAATAGTAATATAGGGAAAAGTGTTCGTCTCCTTTCACATCAACCAAAAATCAAAGCTGCCGCAAACGTAAGTGGCTTATTAACAAATTTTATTACTCAACATTATATTTACACAACTTATTTAAAATTACAACATTAATTATTTAAAATTACAACACTTATAAAATAAATAGATGTAAAGTAACAAAGGTTGAACACAAATCGTACTACAAGTGCTAATTATTTAACTTATTACTCTAACCATGTAAATGTACTCCAAAACCTATTCAAATGTTTATTTAAATCAGCCAGTAGGGATGTCAAATCTTCAAAAGTGGATTTTAATAATCCATTATTTGTTTTCTCACTAATGTTAATAACTGCACCATCATCTGATAATTTTGTTTTCAACGTTATTTCATTTCTATTCGAAGGTAATTCTTCTCTATCATCATCTAGTTTTTCGATTTTCTCTTCAATTTGTACTGGTAAATGACGCAAAGTACCTTTCAACTTGTGCAATATATTTCCAACAGCAAACTGATCTTCACCAATATCTATTTCATTTTCTAATGTCTCTTCTATACTTTCAACATTATTTGTTCTATATTTTATATTTTTACTTCTATTAGTATTTTCCAAACTATTAACAGTTTCTTCCTTAATCACGCTTCGACGTTTCCGAGATAAATTTTGTTCGTTAAAAACATCTTCACTAGAACATGCTTTAGTGTTAGATCTCTTGAAATTTTTTCTACTAAACCTACTCTTGCCTAACTTCGACAGTTTTTCATTTTTCAACTGCAATATTTTGTCTATTAAATTGGACTTAAAATCCGATTTTCCATACATTTGTTTAGACACTTTTGGTTTCGTACCATAATTTATCGATTGCTTTCTATTTTCTTTGTCATGTGCTTGCCGCTTGAATCTCATTGGGAATTGATCATTTTGTTCACCTTTCTTAGAAATTAATAATTCATGGAAGTTTTTTAATTCATTATTGAGCTTATCTATTTGCCTTCGTAAAGCATCACTTTTACTATTAACATCAAATTCTGATGGCATGCCAGCATAATCATCATCGATGATTTCGAACGATGTATCTAAATTACTAATATCCCGTTTTCTTATAGATGATCGTCTTGTTTTGACGACGTTTATTTCTTCTGTATCATTCTCTTCTATAGGTACAACTTCAATAAACTCAGTTTCAGTTTTTGACTCATCTTTGTAATGACAGGCATCAACCTGAGTATTGGCTAAAACCCAAAAGCCAAAAGACTTCGGTGGGAGATTGAGCAAAAGTGTCTTGTAGGGTCGAACACGTTTAACCACTGGCCTGATATCACCCTCTAAATACATTCCTCGTCCGTTTACGATGATGTTCCTGTAAAATAAGTAGTGACTTTTTAATTAAATTTAGAGATTTTGGTACTACTTCTAACTATTTTTTATATCAAATTTAATATAATCCATTTTTGTAGAATAAGGGTGGCAAACGAGCACACAATCTACTTGATGGTAGGTGGATGCTATGTCCCATACATATCTACATCTATTCTCGATTAAGAATCAATATGCATACGCATTGTCACCTCTGAGGACTAAGATAGGATGCCTTGTTTCCAGTAAAAAGGTCTCCGGTTCTCCACTCTCACCATACGAAACACAGCAGAATTGAGCTGCTATTTTACGCTAGTATTGCGTAACCGTAATCTTTCCCTGGTAGAGCGAAGTAAAATACAGCAGCAAGTAAAGTATTCTTAACGCTAATGAGCGGCAATGAAACGGCTCACGGCAGCCATTCTCAACGGAGATTAGCCATCTACGCATGACAGGATTAAGGTGTCCAAGTGTATGCGCAAGCACAGGTGCACTTCCTATTCTCTCACTCTCATATTTCAAAACTCAGGCTTTAGGTGCTTTCCAAGGTACGTGATGTAACACCGTCAACTTTCTGACTCCGACTGCTACTAGGAATTTCTTGTCAGAAAAACTCAATAACTGATATTTACCCGATCCGGGATCTAAACCCGAAACCCATAAGAATATCGACCACCAGATCAAAGAGGCAATCAAAGTGGGCAAGTCACTTTGGTGGCACTGTATCTTCAATTCGAACCTTAATCTAGAGTTGATGAAGACATCAATGGGCCACAGGATCCGTTTACGACTGCATCACACTACACTGAATTATGTCCTTTTTCTGCCGATTTCCAAAAAAGAGACGGTACTCAATTCGACTGTATGTTTTTTTTTATGTGTGTTACCTCATAACTCTTTACTGGGTGAACCGATTTCGATAATTCTTTTTTTATTTGAAAGCTGGTACTTCTCGTGTGGTTTCTTATGAATTTGATCAAGGTCAGATAATAGTTTTTGAGTTATTCTTAATAACTTATATTAAAGTCAGCAGTACAACATTTTTAATTTTAAATTATTGTCATTCCATATCCTCTTCCTTAAAAACTAAACTGTTAGACAAATAATTCACTCTTTGATTTCACGTAGTCAGTCACCGACAATCTTTTTTCTTCATAATTGAAATTTTACATAGATATCATAAAAGTTGCCATTTTTCACTCACCCACTGCTGTCACGTCCAAATATGAACTGCATAATATCACCACCTTCTTCTATTTTCGACAGTTTAAGGGAGAATCTCGCTGGTTCGTCATCCATGTTCGCTCCGTAAAGAGTGACCGCCCCGGGTACTGGCTTGCGACGCAGAGATGCACAGTGCGCGAACAGTGTCGCTCGTGAAGCCGTCATATCTACATCGAGGACGCGTTCTCCTACTAGGTTCTTATAGAGAAGCGCCATGTAAAAACTCTGAAAGTAATTTGGTTATTTAAATAAAACTAGTTTTTAGGGATATTATCGCGTATACAAACACAATAACAGATCACGACAAACTAAAAGATCAATAAAAACCAGTGTTAAAGAACACATAGCTGATATGAATAATCGACGCTGCCGGAAGTCTGCAGTCTGTGAACACGTACAGGATCGCCCCCGCTACTACATCAGAGTTGATAGACCACAATTCCTCGCTAAAAAAACACCGATTCCCACCAAGGATGATTCGCGAGGCTATTGAAATAAAAAAAAACATCCTAATTTCAATAGAGAAGATGTTTGGGTGCTACCATCTGCTTGGGATCCTATAATTAATAAAATTAAATCCCAACCCAAGCACACAACTGCTAGACTTCAAGATACTGTAAATTAATACTGCGTAGATCGGAACAAAAATTAATAATTTTAATCTGGAGGTATAGTTGCCGGCGTCTCACTTGGCAAGACTCGTTAGATGCGCAGAATTAGTTTTTTAGATCTCTCTGGTTATCAAGCAGGGCGCGGGGAACCAGGTAGTATCGTTCCGAGCGCACGATTGGTTGGCAAGTCGACTTTTGCCTCCCGCAACGTGTCCTCGTCCCGTTCGCTCCCGAGTATACTTACGTGCACTAAATTGTAGCGCTTGTTTTTATTGAGTTTTTGTGACTTGTTATTTTCGTTGAGTTTTTTTGTTCTTGTTATTGTTATAAATTATTATTGTTTTATTTGAATACTTAACTTTAACTGTAATGCCATGAACAAGTTCTGTCTTACGTACATACCAGAAAAATGGTTTATAATGCGTACTGTTATATGGAAAAGGAACCACCATACCGCCATACCATGCAGATTTAAATCCTATAGAAATGGCATGGGCGGCAATCAAAGGATATGTGGCCAGCAAAAATATTACTTGGAATGGCACCAATATAATAGAATTAATAAAAGAAAAGGTAGCATTAATGGGCGCCGATGAATGGTCAAAACTTTGCAATAAATTAAAAAAAATCGAGGCTGATTACAATGAAAGTGACCATGTAGTCGATTCAGTCACTGAACAATTTATAATTTACGCCAGTGATAACAACGACTCGTTGGACATTGGAAGTGACGACATTGATATTGAGGATGAGGAGCCAACCCCTTCCACCAACTCTGCTACTTCTGCCAGCTTTGGTTTCATGCCAGGAGTAACACGTTTACAAAGTAATAGTGACGACGACGCCCCATAGTATTGTGCCCCCTAGTGACAATATTTGATTTTACAATAAATTTTTTGAGTTGATTTTATTATAATTGTTTGTATTTTATTTATTACACCTCATATATTTCATGAATTCCTCTTCTTAACTTACACCAAAAAACTACAATAATAGCGACAATTTTTGGTTGCACGAAAATGTACATGCGCAAATTTTCAAAAACTGCCAAAAACTTTCCAAGTTAGTTGCCGTATACCATAGCCGTGGTTAACTATGACATTGGGACGTCAAACACCCCAGTCCCCCTCGTGACTATGGGTGCTGTAAAGTACTTAAGTACTTAAAAGTTAACATAGAATGTTGTTTACAAATCGAACGATGTACAGAAACAAACGAACGAAGTAAGTATAGGCAGACAGAAATAAAAAAGTTTTTTGTCAGAAACCTTCGTAGGCGCACACACAATAACTCAGCAAAGCTTTATCGTAATCGGATTGATGGTATAGAAATACGTCAAACAAAGAAACATTCATTTTTATATAAAGTGATACAATTGGGTGTACAATAAGTAGGCAAATGAAGTATTTTTCAAGTTTAAGGGATTTAAGTTACAGCCTATATACGTCTCACAGCTGGGCACAGGCCTCCCCTCA